TAAACTTCTGTTTATGTGAAAATGCCCTAAGTTTGCCATCATATTTGAGAGACAGTTTTGCTGGATATGTAATTCTTGACTGTCGGTTTTTTTCCTTAAAGGCTTTGTATATGCCATTCCATTGCCTTCTTGCCTGCGTGGTTTGTGCCGAGTAGTCCGAGCTTAGTTTTACTGACTCTCCTTTGTAGCTGACTTTTCATTTATCCCTAGCCGCTCTTAAAATTCTCTCTCATCTTTGGTTTTGGCAAGTTTGATTATAATATGTCTTGGTGACTTACTTTTGTGATCGACCTTATGTGGGGTTCGATGAGTATCTTGGGTAAGTATCTTCTCATCTTTCATGATATCAGGGAAGTTTTCTGTCAACAAACCTTCAACAATTTTCTCTCTATTTTCTATTATCCCCACCTGTTCTGGTAGTCCAATCACTCTTAGGTTATTTCTCTTGATAGAGTCTCACATAATTCTAAGAGTTTCTTCATTTTTTATCTAATTTTTCCTCAAATAAGTTGGTGTCAAGGGCTTTATCTTCATATTCACTAATTCTGACTTCTGCTGCCTCAATTCTGTTCCTGTGACTTTCTGTTGTTTTGTCTAATTTTGAAATTGTATTGTTAATCTTCTGAATTTGTGATTGCCCTCTCTGTGGATTTTTGCAGCCTGTTAAATTTGTCATTATGCTCTTGAATAACTTTCTTAAGTTCCTCTTTTGCTTTGTCTGTATGTTCTTTGGCTTGTTCTGAATTTTGCCAGATCTGCTTCCTGAGCTCTTGAAGAGTTCTGTATATTAATCATTTGTATTCTGCCTCCCTAATTCCAACAAATTCTCTACCTTTAGAAAATTTATTGATTCTTTGTTTTGGGAGCTTTCTGAAGCCATCATGGTCTACCTCTTTATGTGATTTCATATTGACTGTTGTCTCTGAGCCATCAATAAATTATTATAATTTATTTTATGTTTGCTTATTGTGTCCTAGCTTCTTACTATGTTTTGTTTTGATATGCCCAGATAGGCTGCTCTTTTAAGCTAGTTTGATTGTTGGCGCGTTTGAAGCTCTAATGTCTTCTCACCAGGTAGTTAGATCTGTTACTAAGTATATCATCCAGGAGTCTGTTAACTTTTCTGGTATGGATTCAGCTCGGTTGTCCAGGTAGTTGGTCATTAAGTGTGGTGCAGGCTCTCAACTACAGTCCTAGACAGGCATGGATAATTGGTGTAGGCACAGGTATCATGCTTCAGTAGGGGGTCACACACTGAGCAAGGCAGGGGGCTGACGGCTGCCCCTGAGTGTCTGGGAGGAAACTGTGTCCCTGTTGCCTAGAGCACATAGGTAGGTGGGTTTTGCAGCCGGACTATGAGCACCTGTTGCTGGTGGCTGTGATGACTAGGTGGTACTGCTTATCCTTGGACCCCTGTCATGGGTGGCTAGGTGGTGTGGGTGCAGCCACCAGTCCTCAGGCCCCTGATGTGGGCAGGTGAGGAACCTGTTTAATGGGCAGAGCGCTGTCAAATGTTACAAACCTGCCACTTCACAGCTGAAACAGTTGAAGTTAGACTTCATGTATATACCCTGTTGTACTGTGGTGTTGAGGGCCTACGCTTTTGAAATGGGCCCACACATGTCTATGCAGGGATGAAAAGCATTCGTAGTCCGTGGACCCCTTATTCTTGTCCCTAGGCAAAGGAGCTGTGCAACCCTGAGTTCCTGTCTTAGAGGAGTTGGCAGCTTATTTTTTCCCGTTTGTTAATTTGTTCCCTCTCCACGGCTGGTAGAATGGCTCAGGGCATGTGATGGGTCCTACTTCTGGCCCACAGGACTTGGCAGTCGCTGAAGCTGGCCCAGGACCCAGTGCATAGCGGGAAGGGGGAAGATGAACGGGAGAGACGTTTTTCCCAAATGGGTTATTTTTTGGTCCGCGTGGGAGACCAGATGCAAATACTTATCTTTAGGCACTTAAGTGCTGCTTTTCACTAGTTCTGGATGGCCAAGTAGACTCTCTGCCGCTGGATTTCTCCCGATGTGGAAAATGCCTCCCGAGCGCCACTGCTTGCCTCACTGCGCACACCAGCTGATCTGGCCTTAAGGGCTTCGGCTCCCACCGGGTCAGGTTTGGCAACTCCTTGCTGCTTCCAAGCCATGTCTCCCTCCTCCCGCCACTCAGTCTGATTCCTCAACTTTGCCTTTGATGTTCAGGGCTCCTAGATTGTCAATCAATTCACTTGTTTTTTTTGGGTCTTTGTTGTAAGAGGGACCACAGGAAGTGGCTGACTACTCCGCCATCTTGGCCTTGCCCCACTGTTACCTTTATAAAAATCAAACTCCAAAGAGTAGTTATTTTGTTATTTTTTTTAGTAGAAAATCTTTGTTTTTCTGCTGATATGTATGGAAATACATGCCTGTTAGAAACAAACAGTGGTGAAGGTTAGAAAGTGGTAATTTATTCTAAACCCCTTCACCACCCAAGATAACTTCTTAAATGTCTCCTTCATTATTTTAAAATGTATACTTTTTATCTCTAAAGAACATTTTAAATCATAAAATAATAACTAATAGTTATTCAACACTCTTAATTATGCCAGATTCTAAGCATAACTTAATCCTTGAGTTCAGTGATTATTCTTCCCATCTTAATATGAAACTGAGACATTGAAAGTTAAGCAAGTTGTCTGAGTTCCCCCACCTAGTAGATGACAGCCACAATTCCAACCGACGCATTCTGCTCCCAAGCTCTGGGCTCTATAATATATATCTCGTTTTTTAATCTGCTTTTTCACTTTAGTGTATAATAGACATCTCACTTTATTAAAAAACCATTTGCTGTTGAATTGATTCTGACTCACGGCAACCTCACGTATGTTGGAGTGGAACTATGCTCCATAGGGTTTTCAAGAGCTGGTTTTGCAGAAGTATATTGCCAAGTCTTTCTTCCAAGGTACCTCTGGGTAGACTCAAAGTTCCAATCTTTTGGTTAGCAGCCAAGCATGCTAACCATTTACACCACCAAGGCCTCCTTATTAGTACAGGCTAATCTTTTATAGTTTAAATGACTGCAGTGTATGGGTGCTACTGTAACTCATTTGATCTACTGATGGAAATTTACCTTGTTTACAATTTTTCACTATTATAAATTTTCCTGCAGTAAATATCATCATATATATGCTAGCACTTTTTCTTTTTTCTTTTTTTTTAAACTATACTTAGGATAAATTTCTTAGGAAGAATTTCTGTTGCATGAGCCAGCCATAAGGCTTATTCTTATCCCTTTTCTCCATTACCAAAGTTGAGTCTTTTAAAATCTTGCCAACCTGATAATGATATCTTTTTTATTAACGTGTTAAAATTTGCATTTACTTAATTATCAATAATAAAGTTGAGCATTCTCTTTGTATTTAGTGGTCATTTGTATTTATTTTTGTAAATTTCTTTGTGACCTTTGTTCATATTTCTAGTGGGAAGTTTGTTTTATTGATTGTAGGAGTTTTGTAGGATATTAAACCTTTGTCGAATGTGCTGTAAGTATTCTTCCCCAGTTTTTGCCTTTGAATATATGATTGCGTGTATGTTATAGAAATTTTGAATATTTAGTCATGTATGAGTGTCCTTTCTCTTTTCAATCTACACTCCCTTGAAGAGAGTTTGTCCAATCTCATGGCTTTAAATACCATCTTGGGGCTGATATAGCCCCAATTTCAGTCTCTAGCCCACATCCCATATCTTACTGCCTACTTAACCACTCTACTTGGATATTGGTAGGTATTTCAAATTTATCACTTTTAAGAAAAATTTATTCCTCATATTTCCTCCCAAACCCATTCTTCTCATTGTCTTCCCCATATTAGCCAATAAGTCTCTTCTTCCATTTACCTAGGCCAAAAATCTTGGAGTTGTCCTTGAACCTCCTCTTTCTCTCACACTCTGCATTTAATCCATTAGCAAACAGTATCAGCTCTACCTACAAAATAGATCTAGAATATGACCACTTCTCACCACACACCCAGCTACCACTCTAGGCCAGGTCACCATCGTCTTTCGCCTGGTTAATAAAATTGCTTTCTAACTGGTCTCTTTGCTTCCTTCTGTGTCTCCCTACGCTTTTAACACAGCATCCAGAGTGAACCTAGGTTATGACATTTCTGATGAAAATTCTTCTAAGCTTCCTATCTCAGAGCAAGTACCAAGTTCTCACCAAACCCACTGCTGTCGAGTCAATTCCAACTCATGGCAACCGTATAGGATAGAGTAGAATTGCCCCATAGGGTTTCCAAGGAGCGGCTGGTGAATTTGAACTGCCGACCTTATGGTTAGCAGGAGAGCTCTTAACCACTGCACCACCAGGGCTGCAAGTCCTCACAGTGGTCTATAAGACCGTAATTAATCTGGACTTCTGATATTTTTTTGACATGTTTTCCTATTCTCTCCCTTGTCCCTTCTGTTTTAGCTACATTGGCCTGTTGACTGTTGTTTGAACACATGAGGTACATTCCCCTCTCAGGGCTTTTGTACTTGGTATTCCCTCTGCCTGGACTGCTCTTTGTCCAGATATGGCTTATTCTCTCACTTTCTTCAGGTCTTCCTTCACATGTTATCATCTCAGCAAGGTAGACCCATCCAAAATGTCAACCTCTTATCCTGATATTCCCTAACCTGCTTCCTTGCTTTATTTTCCTCCTTAGCACTTGTAATGTGCCATATTTTTTACATATTTATCTTTATTGTCTGTTTTTCTCATTAAGTGTAAAAAGGTTCATGGGGGCAGGAGGAATTTTATTCGCTATGATTTTTCCATTACCTATTATAGTGCTTGATCCATAGTAGGTGCTCAGTGAATTTGAATGTGTGAATTAGCTGGTATTTTCAGTCATATGTAGTGAAGATAGATTCACCAGCACTAGCAGCTCTTCGATGTCAGGCTGTCACCTGTTTTCCATTTGGGTACCACGTGTGGATTACTGTATTGAAATGGTTCCCCTAGATGATAACATGGTTGGGTCATTTTAGGAGAGGAATTTCTGACTTTGAACAACAGAAAGCGAAAGAACTGGCTCAAATAGAAGAGTTTAAAAAGAAGGAAATGAGGAAGCTACAAAAAGAACGCAAAGTTTTTGAAAAGTACACTACAGCTGCAAGATCTTTTCCAGATAAAAAGGAACGTGAAGAAATACAGGTATGCCAGTTCTTTATATCGTACTCATTTAAGTTGTTAAAGGTGACAATCTTGTAAGAATCTCATTAGAGTGATTTAATGTGTCAAAAGAGAAATTGTGTATCAATCTATTAATCATTCACTCATTCAACAAATAATATGCCCAAGACATTGCCTCAGCAACTGCATCTTTTGTAGTCTGATGTTTAAAGAGTAAAACATATCAATTATTTTCTTACTAAAGGCTTCCAATAAAAGACCCTGATAATGTCATGGCTGAAATAACAAGGCAGGACTTGGACATTCATGAGTGTAATGTTGTGTTGATCTTTTTGACCCAGTGCACACCGAATATTGTTAATTCTGTGCATTTATAGTACCTTAAGGCACATATACAAACTAGATGTTTAATTTTAAAACTTACAACCAGTAGGCCAAATTGTGATTCCTATTCATTTCGAAGTTAGAAATGAACATAGTTCATGGAATATAAGTTAAAAAAAGAACTAATGCATTTCTAGTTAAAACTATAAAGCTTCTACAAAAAAGATAAATATATTTGTGACACTGGCATTTGAAAAGATTTCTAAGAGAAGACACAAAGAACTGTGAAAGAAAACTGATACATTGGATGTCATGAAAGTGAAAACTTACAGCTTATCAAAAGAAAAAGTTTAAATGGCTGTTCATTGCTTGTAGCATAAAATACAAACTTATTGTCTACTTTCCATATTTAAATATTAGTATTTTCAAGTTTCATCCTTTGTCTTCTTTCTCATGTAGTATGCCATCCTTGAACAATCTCATCTGCACACCTATGGCTTAAGTTATCACATACTACTGTGTTGATTAAGGTCTTTAATTCTATTTTTGTGGGGAAACACGTGTGCCATTATATTTTGGTTAATGATCAATTTATTAAATCTAATATATCACAAATTTTATTTCAAAAGATAATATATTCCCATTCAAACTGTACAAGAAGATGTACAGTTAAACTTTTCCACCTAATTTACCCCTGTGGAGGCAACCAGTGTTACCAGTTTCTTGTGTGTTTTTAGAGAAATTCTATGCATTTAAGCAAGTTCATAGGTTGTTTTTTTTTTTTTAACATCAATGATAGTATTCTGAAATTCTATATCTTAAAGAGTATCCTTATTCTGTATTTTATAGTTGCATAGAATTGCATTATATGAATGTGCTATAATTAAACATGTATCTGTTCTCTATTCTTCTGTTTATAAGAATGACATCACCTCTCACAATCATTCTTCTACTTTTTCATTCAGCCCTTGTTTATTGAGTATCTACTATGTGCCAAGGTTTCTGGGTGTTGCAAATGGTTGTACTTGACCACTAACCTAAAGGTTGGAGGTTCAAATCCACCCAGCGATGCCACGGAAGAAAAGCCTGGTGATCTGCTTCTGTAAAGATTACAGCTACGAGAACCCTATAGGGAAGTTCTACTCTGTAATACATGGGGTTGCCATGAATTGGAATCAACCTGATGGAAATGGGTTTGATTTTTTCACTGTGTGCCAGGCACAGCCTGTGAACTGAAAATTCAGTAGTGAACAAAACAAATAAATCCTTGCGCTCATGTAGCTTACATGTTCAAGTATATCTGTAAGATAAATTTCTACAAGTGTAATTTCTGGGTTAAAAGGTATGTACGTTGATAGATACTGCCAGGTTATCCCTCTGTAAGTATCATATTTTTGTTGTTAGGTGCCATTGAGTCAATTTCAACTAACAGTGACCTCATGTGACAGTGGAACTGCCCCATAGTGTTTTCTAGGCTGTAATCTTTATAGGAACTGATCACCAGGTCTTTCTACTGCGGAGCTGCTGAGTAGGTTTGAACTGCAATTATTAGACTGTTTGTTCTTTCCCTCAGTCTTAACTAACACGGTGTTATCAGACTTTTTGCTCTTTGCCTGTCTGATAGAGAAAAAGATTAAAAATTGATATTAAACTTTATTGAATTTCTTTTGAACAATTTGAATTATGGTTACAAATTTAGCATGACTTTTTGTGAACACTTTGAATACTTTAAACAGTGATTAAAACATAACCAGTTGAGCTATCACAAAGGTTTTGGCTCAGTTTAAAACCACAGTCTATTTTTAAATACTTGCACAATGAGTTTATCATTTCATTTTTCTTGTTTTTAAATCTCTTAGGATTAGAGCAATACTTTCCTTTGATACCTTGCTATATTATGAAAATCTTACTAGACCCAAAGCCGGGGGGAGGAGCTTCTCAGACCACCCAAGATTATAAGATTAAGACTGATTTGTTTTCTTTTTCCCCTCTTGTTTCTCTTTCTTGCAGCACAGGACCTAATTTCTTCTTCCAAGGTGATTCAAACCAAAGCAGACTGAGCTTTCATTTTGTAGTTATACTTTACTTTGCTAAGTGAATGACACAGTTTACTTTCTTGCAACCTGGTGCTTTTTCCTGAAATAATGTATTTAAGTCTGTGCTGTCCAGCATGATAGCCACTAGACATATGTGGCTATTTAAATTTAAATTAATTAAATAAAATAAAAAATTCAATTTCTTCTATCAAAGCCACATTTCAAGTGCTCATGTATCTAGTGGCTACCATATTGGACAGTGCTGATCTAAAGGTTTCATGTCCTGGAGATGAAGGATTGGGTTGGTGAGTTAGTGTTCCTCTTTACGATGTTAAACTGTTTTATCATTTGGGTACTCATTCTTGAACCCTCTTTCTACTTTGTTATTTTATATGACTTCTGATATTAAGTATTGAACCCCTTTTCAGATCTGGTTATCATGTGTGGCCATGGGTATTTATTATTTCTTTCTGTTTTTGGTATACTTTGTTCTTTTTCTTATACTGTTTGACTTATTCACAGTTCCCTGTGTTTATCCTTCTTTCTCCTTCTACTGTACAAATATATACTTAATAAATAGATACATACTTAATAGAAGGAATACCTATATTTATTGATACTCTTCTCTTATTAAAGTCATTAAAAGATTAAATAGGTGGTGTATTGTTAAGAGCTATGACTGCTAACCAAAAGGCCAGCAGTTCAAATCCACCAGCTGTTCTTTGGAAACCCTGTTGGGTAGTTCTGCTCTTTCTTATAGTGTCGCTATGAGTCGGAATCAACTCAACAGCCATGAGTTTGGTTTTTTTGTTTTGTATTATTATTTTCTATATTAACTGTTTTGGGTATTCATTCATTCAACCAATCTTTTGAGAACTCTATATACTAGAAACTGTTCTAAGCTCTGGGGAAAATTGGTGTAAGACATTTTTGCCCTCCTGGAGTTTATGTTCATCATTATTGATTGGTAGCCTTTCACAAACTCATGTTAACTCTAATTGTATTATCTAGTGTGGCTATAACAGAAATATCACAAGTGGATGGCTTTGACAGACAAATTTATTTTCTCACAGTTTAGGAGGCTGTAAGTCCGAATTCAGAGCGCCAGCTCTACCGGAAGGCTTTCTCTCTCTGCTGACTCTGGAGGAAGGCTCTTTCTTGTCTCTTTAGCTTCTGTTTCCTGGTTGCCTGGAGATGTCCATGTGTACTGGCATCTGTCTTACCCCATCTCTGCTTCTTGCTTGCTTGTTTGATCTTTTTTGTATCTTTTTGATATCTTTTGACTCAAGATGCACCCTACACCAATCCTGTGTTATTAACATTACAAAGATAACCCATTCCCAAATAGGATTCTAGCCACAGGCAAAGACATTAGGAATTACAACACTTATTTTGGGGCATATAATTCAATCTATAACACTAATTAATTGGAAAATTTCCTTTTCAATGTTCAGGTAGTTCCAGCTCTACCAGTGGTAGCATCTTCAAGTGTGTCAGCCCCTTTCCCCTTTTAGCATTGCCCTTGAATTTTTTAAAGTCTCTCTGCTTCCTATAACTGGTTACTTCAGACTTTTTTTTTTTTTTTTTAAGACTCGTGTGTTATCATTTTAGTATTAATAAGGCTATTTCCCTGCTTGATAAAGATGTTAAAAATTTCTTATTTATAAAATCTTTATACCAATCTGGTGAGATTTGTTGTAATCTACAATTTTATAAATACAGAAGCTAATTGTCTTAGTTATCTAGTGCTGCTATAACAGAAATACCACAAGTGAATGGCTTTAACAAACAAATTTATTCTCTCACAGTCTAGGAGGCTAGAAGTCCAAATTCAGGGTGCCAGCTCTTGGGGAAGGTTTTTTCTCTGTTAGCTCTGGGGAAAGGTCCTTGTCATCAATCTTCCCCTGGCCTAGGAGCTTCTCAGCACAGGGATCCCGGGTCCAAAGGACACGCTCTGCTCCTGGCTCTTCTTTCTTGGTGGTAGGAGGTCCCTTCTCCTCTCTGCTTGCTTCTCTCTTTTATATTTCAAGGGAGATTAACTCAAGATACAACCAAATCCTATAGATTGAGGCCTGCCGTATTAACATAACTGCCTCTAATCCTGTCTCATTGACAATCATAGAGGTTAGGATTTACAACAACACATAGTATAATCACATCAGATCACCAAATGGTGGACAACCACACAGTAGTGGGAATCGTGGCCTAGCCAAGATGATACGCATTTTTGGGGGACACATTTTAATCGATAACACTAATTTTCAGAGAGGTTAATGACCTTCTTTAAGAAACTGTCAAGGGACAAAACTGGGATTCAAGCCTTGATCTTGCCAACTCCAAAGACTATGCTGTTTGTAATGTAATACCCCTAAGAAAGAGTCTATTATGACTAGGTGATAGAGGAAGATATTAGGGTTCAAAAGACTTTCTTGGCTGTTGTAAGGCTTAAATGAGATTGGATGTAAAGTTTTATACCAATGTATATTAATAAAATCAACCAGTGAAAGCCCAGTATGGATCACAACAGCCTGATCCAGAACCAGTCATGGGGATCGCACAGAACTGAGCAGCATTTGGGAGTTCCTGGATGGTGCAAATGATTAGTGGTCTTGGCTGCTAACTGAAAGGTTGGATGTCTGAGTACACCCAGAGGCACCTTGGAAGAAAGACCTGGCAGTCTGCTTCCAAAAAATTCACCATTGCAAACCTGTGGAGAGCACAATTCTCCTGTGACACACACGGGGTTGCCATGAGTCAGATTCAACTCAACGGCAACTGGTACTGGTACAGAGCTTTTCACTTCCAGTAGTCTTATATCAAGGAGCCCTGGTGGCACAGTGGTTAAATGCTTGGCTGCTAACTGAAAGATTGACAGTATGAACCCACCCAGCTGCTCCACAGGAGAAAGACCTGGTGATCTGCTTCTGTAAAGATTATAACCTAGAAAACCCTATGGGCCAGTTCTACTCTATCACATGGTCGCTATGAGTCAAAATCGACTCAGCAGCACCTAACAACAGTCTTGTATCAGAGTGGGTTTTGAGGTAGGAGAGAATGTGCTCTTGTTTCTCCCTTTACTCCTGTCCTCAGCTCTCTGTCATTCCCCATAACTTGCTGCTCCTTCTGTGTAGCTGACCTCTCCTTTGTTCTGGTATCACTCTTGATTTCTGTTTGTACAATTGCAAACTGCTTCTAGACACTTCCAGCAGTTTCTTCACTTACGTCATTTAGACCATCTAAAGCAACTCATTTTCTTAAACTGTTTTCTTATGAATTTCAAATAGAACCAGTTTTCAGGGCAGCTAGTTTTGGATTTGGATTCTTTTATTCTTCCCTTTACCTCAACTCTTCCTTCAATTAGTCATGAATTCCTGTTAATTTTTCTTCATCGTATGTTCCCCGTTTATCCTTTTCTTTGTCTTTTAATTAATATCTTTAGACCTTTATTACCTCATGACGGTATTGTTGCAATGAACTCTTAAGTGATGTCTGTCTTCTGGAGTTAGTTTTGTTCTATGGTATGAGGTTAGGCTCTAAACAGATCTACTGCTTCCCTCTTATGAAAAATTCAGTGTTATTAAAATGTGATTTGTTGACTAAGCCTTCTGTTTTTGCTGCCTGTGATGCTTCCTTCATCATATATTGAATTCTTATGATAGTATCTTTTTGAACTGGCTATTCTGTTTCTTTGATGTGTCTTTATTCTTACATTGCATTGTTTTAATTCTAGTAATGCTCCCCCCCCCACCATAGGCTTTAAAACAGCAGATAGCAGATTTACAGGAAGATCTGAAAAGAAAAGAAGTAAAATGGTCAAGTACACATAGCCGTCTTAGAAGCCAGATAGAAATGTTAGTCAAAGAGAACACAGACCTCCGAGAAGAAATAAAAGTGATGGAAAGATTTCGGCTAGATGCTTGGAAGAGAGCAGAAGCTATTGAAAGCAGCATAAAGGCAGATCAGTGTGTGACTACTGTGAGAAAAGATGAATCCATGGTAAGTTTGGTTTTGTCATGTCAAGGGTAGAGCATTTGTCACTGAGCATTGCTACACAGGTAATTTTAAAATCAGTTTTTAATAATTCTTATAAAGGAGGTATTCCACAATAGGCAAATAATCTCAGTTAAAATAGATCAAGTAAAGTTTTCGTAGAGAGTCACATGCATATCATCTTTTTAAATCAAGTATTTGGTCTTTCATTTATCTATGTTGACGACTATGTGCCAGCGACTGTTTTAGGCACTAGGGATACAACATTGAACAAAACAGACAAAATTCTTTGCCCTCATGGAACTTATATTGTAGTGGCAGAGAAAGAATACAAATAAGAAGCTAGGTAGAAAAAGCAGGGAAGGGGTGAGGGTGTTGCAATTTTAAATAGGATGGCCAGGGAAGGCCTTACTGAGAAACTGACATTTGAATAATGACCTGAAGAAGATGAGTGAGGAAGCCATGCTGATCCCTGGGTGAAGACTGTAACAGGCAAAGTGAATACCAAGTGTGAAGAGTCACTAGTCTACCTGATAGGTTTGAGGAATAGCAAGGAGGCTAGTATACCTGGAGCAGAGTGAGTCGGGACAATTGTAGGAGCTGAGATTAGAGATATAATGGAGGATGGAGGGTGCAGATCATGTTAGGCCTTAATAGATGATTGTGAGCACTTCAACTTTTACTCTGAGTCAAATGGGAAGCCGTTGGAGGGCTTTGAATAAAGGAGTGGCCTAATCATTGTTATTTTAGTAAGTTCACTCTATATCTGCTGTAGACTTAAGAATAGAAATCAAATGACATATTGCATTGGGCAGATCTTCAAAAGACCTTTGTAAAGTGTTAAAAAGCAAAGATATCACTTTGAGGACTAAGATGCGCCTGACCGAAGCCATGGTTATTTTCAGTTGCCTCATATGCTTGTGAAAACTGGACAGTGAATAAGGAAGACCAAAGAAGAATTGATGCCTTGAATTACGGTGTTGGCTAAGAATATTGAATATGCCATGGACTGCCAGAAGAACAGACAAATCTATCTTGGAAGGGCAGCCAGAATGTTCCTTAGAAGCAGGGATGGTGAGACTTTGTCTCATGTGCTTTGGACATGTTATCAGGAGGGACCAGTCCCTGAAGAAGGACATCATGCTTGGTAGAGGATCAGTGAAAAAGAGTAAGACCCTCAAGGAGATGAATTGACACAGTGGCTACAACAATGGGCTCAAGTGTAGTAATGATTGTGAGGATGGCGCAGGACCAGGCAGTGTTTCGTTCTGTTGTACATAGGGTCAATATGAGTTGGAACCGACTCTACAGCACCTAACAACAACATGGGTGCAATTGGTATGAGTTAGAGGACTACTGCAGTAATTGAGATGAGAGATGATAGTGGCTTAGACCAGGGTAGCGGCAGTGGAGGTGATGAGAAGCGAACAGTATCTGTGATGAATTGGATATGGGGTTTGACAGCAAGAAAGGAATTAAGAATGGCTTTTAAGTTTAGTTTTTTTTGCCTACTGGAGTTTCCACTTACTGTGATGAGAAGTCACAAGAGAGATTTTTATGGGATGTGGATATTAGGTGTTCACATTTGGATGAGGTAAGTTTGAAATGCCTACTGTATATCAAGTGGAGATGTAAAGTAAGTAGTTAACACCAAATATCAAGAGAAGTGCAGGTTGGGGATATAAATTTGGGAGTCATCAGAATGTGTGGTAAAGCGTGGACCTGGGAGACATCATCAAAGCTGTGAGTGTAGATATCGATGACGTGCAGGTACTGAGCCAAATTATTACAAGATGGGAAGATGAGAAGGAAATAGCAAGGGAGTGGAGAATGAGTAGCCAGAGAGGTATGAGGAAAATCAGGCAAGTATGGTGTCCTGAAAGCCAAGTACAGAAAGTATATCAAGGAGGAGAGAGTGATCAACAGTGTCAAATGCTGCTGATAAGTAAGATAAGAACTGAAAATTGAGCATTGGATTTACCAAGTAGAAATAATTTATGACCTTGCTAAGATCCTTTTCTTTGGGTTGGGGTGTTGCAGATGAAAGCCTGATTGGAGCTGGCGCAAGACAGAATAAGGAGAAATTACAGAGTATTATAGTTTTTTGGAGTAGTTTTGTAGTAAATATAAGGAGATAAGTGAGACTAGTGGCTGGAGGAAGTATTTTTTTGTTTTTTCAAGATGAGAAAATGAACAGATGTTTATGTATTGATAGGATTAATTCAATAGAGAGGAAAATATTGATGCAGGAGAAAGTAGGGAGAATTGTTGAAGCAATGTCTTTGAGAGGGGATGGCATCTAGTGAATAAATGCATGGGTTGGTCTTAGCTAGGAGTATGGACAATTTATCCCTAGTAATAAAAGTTACAGAATATAGGGTAGGTGGGTGGTGGCAGCTTGTTAGACGTTCTTTTTTAATTGCTTTAACTTTCTCAATGAAATAGGAAGCAGTCATTAGCTGAGAGTGAGGATGGAGGAGGATTTGTAGGAGACTTGAGGAGATGGGAGAAAGTGTGTAATAGTTGTGTAAGAGAGTGAAAGCGCAAATAGACGGGGAAATGTAGTCTGATTACTGGGCTGTATTAGGGTCCACTTGAGGTTAGTCATCATAAATGTAAAGTGAGAATTGTTCACATTGTTGTTTTTTCTTGTTTTGCTTTTTTGGGTAGGCCCAGACGTGGTGGTAGCATTATAATTTAGCAGAGGTGTGGTTATCCAAGTGAATACTACAAAGTGAGAGAGGGGCATGCAGGTTCACAGTATATGTAACATGAGTGACAGCACTGAACCGTAAGTTTAAGCTGCATAAGGATACAGGGTTCTGAGAGACAGAAAACATGAATCAATGAATTGTAGGACCCTATAGCCTGTAAGCATTGTTGAGATGGGGTATTAGAGGAATGAGCTGGAAAGATAGGCTATGGTAGTCAGAAAGTGGGATTCTCACACCCCCACCCAGTATTTTATTAGGAAAGCTTTCCAAAATAGAGAAAAGTTAAAAGAATAGTATGACAAAAACTTGAATACCCACTACCTAGATTCAGTCAGTTAAAACTTGCCATTTTTGTGAATTGGGTAATTGCAGAAATCATGATATCTTACCCTAAATACTTTAGCATTTTATTAAATGGCATTGGCTTTGTGAAGAGACCATACTAATTATTTTGTAGAATGCTCTAACTAGCAACCACCCTGTTGCTGTCAAGTTGATTCTGACTCATGGCGACCCCCATGTGTTACAGAGTAGAACTGGTCCATAGAGTTTTCTTGTCTGTAATCTTTACAGAAGCAGATCACCAGGTCTTTGTTCTGTGGTGCTGCTGGGTGGGTTTGCACCTCCAACATTTAGGTTAGTGGTCAAGTGCAAACCGTTTGCACCACCTGGAGACTTCATAGAGTGCTTTAAAATTGAGGATTTTTAACAAACATTGTTACGAGACCCCAACCGTTCACCCCATTCTGCGACAGCACACTCCTCCCCTCCGCCCCCGATTCCCCATGAACGTTCAACCAGCTCCTAACTCTCTCTGCCTTCCCATCTCACCTCTGGACAGAAGCTGCCCCTTTGGTTTCTTGTAGCTATACGACTAAGAGGCACATTCTTCACGAGTATCACTTTATGTCCCACAGTCCCGTCCAATCCCGTCTGAAGAGTTGGCCTCGGAAATTGTTTTAGTTCTGGGGTGATAGAGAGTCCAGGGGCCATGCTGTCCAGAGCACCTCCAGTCTCAGACCATTAAGTCTGGTCTTCTTACTAGAATTTGAGTTCTGCATCCCATCGTTCTGCTGCTCCATCAGGGACCTTCTGTTGTGTTCCCTGTCAGGATGTTCATTGGTGGTAGCCGGGCACCATCTAGTTCTTCT